TGAGAGAATATACCGTATGTACATTGTTTGGGCAGTTAAAGAGAGTTCGAAAAATGACGTAAATGTGCCAAAACCACCCATAAATTCAGATTTATCCTTCTATTCTTTTGAATTGAGCAGTGCTTAGCGCTCAATGATGCCTAGTTTTCAGAATTAAAAATGTTGCGAGATGCTGCCGAGTCGTGGCTGAAGGCTACACTGTATATAGAAGATTGCTGGACTGTTTCACTTGATACTGTGCTCTTACTTTTTGAAATGTAAGACAAATTGGTGTAAGTTGCATATTTAGCAATAACAATTATTAAGCTAAGAACTAGCTTATTATACTGTACCCTTACAATGATAAGCAACACCTGAGTTTTGGCGTTATGTGATCATAGGTGAATTCACTCACCATTGTTAACCTCTCCTCCAGGGTAGTAACACACAGTCCATACTCATCCGTATTCATAAAACAGTTCCTATGACACTGCTGCTCCTATTTTTTTTTAAAAGCGATGGAAATAATACCTCTCATGTTACAGAATCAAAAGGAATTGTTTAAAATGCTTACAGACAATCGCAAAATAGCTCCCTGAAGGATCTGAAGTCCTTTTTTTGTTTGCTAATATAAAAAATGTTAGCATGGTGAGAAATGCTTTATGAACATTTGTGATAGGGTCCAGAGAGAATTCCCAGTCCTGCAGAGTGGTACAGTCCAGCAGTTGAGAATTGCTGTGGGTACTGAATCCCTATTTCAGTTTTAAACTAGTGATGCCATCATTTCCTCTTCCTCCTGAAAGCTTCCACTGAATAAATCGTTTTTTTTTCTTTCAAATCTGCTCTTGTGGAGGGGCGAGGGGGGTGTGGGGGGAGGCCTTCTTGTCTGTGAACACTTGCTGTGCCAAATGCATCACATGTCATTGCAGAAGAATATACAAGGCCGCTCATGGATCTTGGAATGTGAGAAAAAAAAGATAAATGTTTAGCTAAAATATTTTGAATTCCTAAATATCATATCAATAATGAGGATGAATATAATGCCAAATATTCATTATTTGTAAAGAAATATATATATAAATATATAAATATATGCTTCATTTAAATGGAACTATTTTCTGCTCTTCCTCATGTTTTAGTTGTTTATTTTGGTTTTGGATTAGTTTGACAAGGTCTTATTATGGCATGCAGGATACTGATACTGAATGTATAATTTGTTGTTCCATTGCTTTTTGGTATTGCCGCCTTCTACAAATTGTTTTGTATTTGTATTTGTTTTTTCTTTAGGTTTAGATATGACAGATCTTTTGTTGGCATTTTTTTTTTATTATTTTATGAACCTTATGCTGACTATAAAAATGTGCTTCAGTACTTTGCTCCATTTCTCTTTTTATGAATCTGCCTCTTTAAATAGCATTAGTATTGCTAATGATCATCTGATGTAAATACTTCTGCAATTAAAACTTTTTTGGAGAAAAAAATAGCCTGTTTATGATCTTTTCGATTGTATAGTTTTTATCATCTCTCTTCTTTCACATGGAAATCCTCAGGTATTTCAAAAGCACCAAGGGTTAAGAAATCATTGTACATTCTTGGAACTTCTGAAAAACAAACAACAAATGTTTAATTGAGAAACATTCCACACAACATTTGAAAGTTTTTTTAAATGTTATTGGCTTAACTGAAAACAGCTAGTGAGAATGCAGTTCTTGGAACACTTGTGCAAATTCATCTACAGAGCACAACTTTAGCTTCATAGTCATATCCCAGATATTTTCACATTAAAACAAATGTAGTCACTTTCTTAAATGTTATTCCAGTTTCTTACTGATTTATCAAAGGAAAGAAAACTAGAACATATCAAGTGTAAGCACTAGTTGGTCTTTCCCTTTTGGTCCATCTTGGCTACAATTGCCTTCCTCATTCATGCTGTTAGTTTTGAGATACTGTAATAACAGTAAATTCAGAGGGTGTCAGATGAGGTTTTTTAAATTATCCTTCAGTTGTACATTTTTATTTTTACTCACAAAATAAAACAAAAATAAAGACTGCAAAATTAAAGGTTCAGAAATGGAAAATGAAACCTACTGTTCTCATGACGTGCATGCTAAAGCGACAAACATTTCAAAACTTAAAATGCATGATAAAATTCAACAATAAAGAAATGATGAACGTCATTGTTAATCCACACTGTAAACCATACCTAACCTAACGACATTTCACAGCTTAAACTGGCAATTTATCTCTTTCAACTTAGACCTCCTTCAAGAAGTGCACAACAGGAGAGACATGGTATCTGTAACAGAATGGAGTCTGTTCATTCAATCATACCTTTTTCCCCCCAAAGTCAAGGATTACAAAAAACAGATGGAACCTGTTTGTACACCACTTTTAAAAAAACTGCAGTGAGAGAAAAGACTTAAAAGAATGCTGGAAATGTCATCATACTTTGAGTTGCCTACCCTCAGGCCCCTTTGCTAGATAGAGAGCCCTCCTGTGTGCACACTGCATTGTATTTTATTACTGAAACTGCAGATTAGCATGTTAATTGAGAACACACTCTTAACTCTCGCCAATATGTAAGATAACCTGGAGTCAGTTTTAATATGTTTCATTATCTCTATGTGAGTGAATTGCACCACACTGTGCAATGAGCAAGAAGAAGATAAACTCTGGGAGTTTTGTGAGGCAAGCCGGAGTGTGTGAGCAGATGACTCATCCAAGCACATCTATGTGCAAGCTGTTTATCTGTGTGTATATTAAACACTTTTCATTTTAATATTCAACACACATGGATCTAACTCCTGTCTGATTACAAGGTATGTCAAGGGTGAAAAGCCACCTTGCATGTTACAATTATAAAACATCACATTTATTTATTTAGGTCAAGTGCTTTATCAACAGTCTACTAAACACAATTCTATGGAGTCCAAATTGTGATTCTTATAGATACTGTATGCAAAGTCATCTTTTTAAAAAAGTGATGACGGTGATAGTGATCCAGGAGGTTACACCCATTCCTCTGGATCTCCATCCATTCCTTCTGATTAAGGGCTTTATCCTTAGAAGGTCTTGGGGAGCTACTACGTATATTGCTTAATCTGGCTGGCAGAAGGCAGAACATGGTCAAATAGCCTTTGACAGCAAGTCAGTTTATTGCAGTTTAAGCACATAGAAGGGGCAATTTAGTGACACCAATTCACTTGAACTGGCATGTGTTTGGACTGAGGAAGGAAGACGGAGCACCCAAAGAAAAACAAAATGACACAGCCATGGGAAGAACTTCCAAACTCCACACAATAGGCACGCCCGTCCAAAACTGAACCCATTACCCAAGAGCTGTGAGGTTTGTGCCACCATGGAGCCCCCATATCGATTTGGATTTCCTATGCTGCAAGCCGTAATGACAGGGTAAACATTCAGGAGAGCTGTTAAACTGAGGAGATAAATACTTTAATCCTGACACTCCTTTTAAGATCAGAGGTGTTAAAACTGTGAATAAATTGCACTTTAAGCTTGCATAGCCTGGCCTCTGTAAATTATCAGAATCCTTTAGAATGAAAAGCAGCCCTCAAGTGTCTATGATTTTTTTTTGTTTAGTATTATTGTTTGAAAAGAACATCTGTTTTTGTAACCTCTTTGTTTGCTCTTTTATGACAATTTGTCATATAAACAAAGGATTTAAAGTTGAATATTGATCTGATAAAATGATTGACAAAAATTGATCAAATAATTGTCCCAAATAAAATATTTACTGTGTACTCAGCTGCAGTTTGCTGATTACAACATTTGACTAAATAGCTGATGAAAAATTTAATCAAGCATAAACGGAATTAGGCGTCAAAGCAATGCGTGATGTAAAAATTCTTGAAAGTGTAAATGTACAGTATAACAGCATTGGCGTCAATGAGGTTTGCAGATCAGCCGGTTCATCGATCTATAGTACAAAAAACTGAAAGATTTTGTAAAGAGGACAATGCCGGTGCCGTATCTAATTCTGTATTCCATGAAAATCTGTATCGCCGTCCGAATTGCGCACGGTATCTACAAACTTTTAAAGGATATTTAATTCATCATAATACAGCCTCGATGATCTGGGCGGCTTCTGAGTGCATGTTGGTCTCGTCGCTCATTACCATGTGGATAAAAAGGAGCCCGTTGTTTCTCGGTGTGTTTGATGCGTTGCTAAGCCACAATAATAATA